GTGATATAGAAGATGAAATTATGGAAAATAATAAAGCTGAAAAGAAGAGGGAAGGAAAAGTATTGAATCATGAATGTAGCCTTAGAGAACTCAGTAACTCCTTAAAGCATAATAACATTTGTGTTGGGAGTCTCAGAAGAAGAAGAGAGGGAAAAGTGGGCAGAAAGTTTATTTGAGCAAATTATAGCTGAAAACTTCTCTAATTGGGGGAAGAAAACAGACATCAAAATCTAAGAGGCACAGAGAGCTCTGATCAAATTCAACAAAAGCTGACCTACACCAAGACATATCATAGTCAAATTTACCAAATACACAGACAAGGAAAGAATCCTGAAAGCAGCAATGGAAAAAAGTCCTTAACCTATAAGGGAAGACAAATTAGGTTTACAGCAGATCTATCCACAGAAACTTGGCAGGCCAAGTATATTGTATATCAATATACAATAATCAGTTACATCTCTATATACAAGCAATGTACAATCCAAAAAAATGAAAATAAAACAATTCCATCAGATGAGATTGCATCAAAAGGGATTGCACCAAGAGGAGATAAAATGGCTTAGGTGTAATTTTAACAAAAGAAGTGCAAAACTTGTACTTTACAAAACTAGAAAACATTGCTAAAAAAATTTAAAGAGGACCTAAGGAGATGGAAAAACATTCTGTATTCATGGATTAGAAGACTAAACATTGTTAAAAAGGCAGTACTACCGCCAAATTGATCTATAGATTCAATACAATGCCTATGAGAATCCCGGCTGGCTTCTTTATAGAAATTGGCAAGGTGCTATAAAATTAATAGGGAAGTTCAAGTGCCCCAGAGTAGCCAAAACAATCCTGAAAAAGAACAAATCTGGGGTGCCTGGGTGGCTCAGTTGGTTAAGCATCTGCCTTTGGCTCAGGTTATGATTTCAGGGTCCTGGAATCAAGCCCCACATTGGGCTCCCTGCTCAGCAGGAAGTCTGCTTTTCCCTCTCCACATCCCCCTTGCTCATTCTCTCTTTCTCAAATAAATAAAATCTTTTTAAAAAGAGAGAGAGAAGAAAAAGAATAAAATCAGAGAACTAACACTTCCCAATTTCAAAACTGGCTACAGAAGTACAGTAATCGAGGTAATGTAATACCAGCATGAAGAAAGACATACAGGCCAGTGGAACAGAATTGAGAATCCAGAAATAAAGTCTTAAATTTGTGCTCAAATGATTTTCAGAAAATTGATACCAATACAACTTAATGAGGGAAGAATAGTCTCTTCAATGAATGGTTCTGGGACAATTGAACATCCACATGGAAAAGAATAATGCTGGATTCTTACCACATACCATATGCAAAAATTAACTTAAAATAGATTATAGGCCTGAATGTAAGAGCTAAAATTATAAAACTCTTAATGAGAAAACATTAAGTAAATCTTTGTGACCTTGGGTTAGGTAATGCTTTCTTAGATCCACATCAAAAGCACAAGCCACAACAGAAAAAAATAGATTAAAACGATTTCCTCAAGTTTTCCAGCATCATATGTTGAAAAGACTGTCTTTTTTCCATTGTATATTATTTCCTGCTTTGTCAAAGATTAGTTGAGGGTCCATTTCTTGGTTTTCTATTCCATCCTATTGATCTGTCTGTCTGTTTTTGTGCCAGTGACAGCTTTGTAATAGAGCTTAAAGTCTGGAATTGTGATGCCTCCAGCTTTGGTTTTCTTTTTCAAGATTTCTTTGGCTCTTTGGGGTCTTTTGTGGTTCCATACAAATTTTAGGATTATTTGTTCTAGCTCTCTGGAAAATGCTGGTAGTGTTTTGATAGGGATTGCATTAAATGTATAGATTGCTTTGGGTAGTTATAGGCATTATAAGAGTATTTGCTCTTCTGATACATGAGCGTGGAATGTTCTATTTGTGTCTTCCTCAATTTCTTTCATAAGTGTTCCATAGTTTTCAGAGTACAGATCTTTTGCTTTGGTTAGGTTTATTCCTATGTATCTTATGGGTTTTGGTGCAATTGTAAATGGGACCAATTTCTTGATTTCTCTTTCTGCTGCTTCATTGTTGGTGTATAGAAATGCAGCAGAATTCTGTGCTTTGATTTTATATCCTACAACTTTGATGAACTCCTGCATCAGTTCTAGCAATTTTTTGGTGGAATCTTTTGGGTTTTCTACATAGAGTATCATGTCATCTGCAAAGAGTGAAAGTTTGAGTTCTTCTTTGCCAATTTGGGTGCCCTTTATTTCTTTTTGTTGTCTGATAGCTGAGGCTAGGACTTCTACTACTATGTTGAACAACAGTGGTGGGAGTGGACATCCCTGTCATATTCCTGACCTTAGAGGAAAAGCTCTGTTTTTCCCCATGGAGGATGTATTAGCTGTGGGTCTTTCATATGTGGCCTTTATGATGTTGATATATGTTCCCTCTATCCCTACTTTGTAGAGGGTTTTTATCAAGAAAGGATGCTGTAATTTGTCAAATGCTTTTTCTGCATCATTATTACTTAGCCATAAAAGAGAATGAAATCTTGCTACTTGCAATGACGTGGGTGGAGCTAGAATATATTACACCAAGTGAAGTAAGTCAGTTAGAGAAAGATATGTTATGATTTCACTCATATGAAGAATTTAAGAAACATAACAGATTAATACAGGGGAAAGAAAAAAAGAGAGAGGCAAATCATAGAAGAGACTCTTAATTACAGAAAACAAACTGAGGGTTGCTAAGGGGCAGGTAGGTGGGGGATAGGATAAATGGGTGATGGGCATAAAGGAGGACGCTTGTTGTGATGACCACTGGGTGTTATATATAAGTGATGAATCATAAATTCTATTCCTGAAACTAATATTACACTATGTGTCAACTAACTGGAATTTAAATAAAAACAAACAAATGAAAAAAAAAACAGTTGAATTGTAAGTAAATGGAAATTGGGTGAGTTGTATGAGTTGTATGTAAATTATAATCCAATAAAGCTATTGCCAAAAGAAGTGATTCTAAAAAAAAAAAAAAAAAAAGTGATCCTCCATTTTGTATTCCTCCTGGCAGAGTGTATGAAATTGCCATTGCTCACTTTAATGTTAATCAATACACACTAAGAAATTTGCCAATTTGATAAACTAGGACAATGATTCAACTGAAAGAGATTTTGCTCCCCTGTGGCCATTCCGCAATGTCTGGAGACTTTTCTTAAAAAGATATTTTATTTATTTATTTGAGAGAGAGACAGAAAGATAAAGAGAGAGAGAGAGAGCACAAGTGGGAGAAAGGGAAGAGGGAGAGAGAGAAGCAGATTCCCTGTTGAGCATGGAGCCCAACATGGCTCGATCCCAGACCTAAGATCATGACCAGATCCCAAGTCAGATGCTTAACTGAGCTACCAAGGTGCCTCTGGAGTTAGTTTTGATTGTCACAACTGGGGTAGGAGGATGCTATTGGCCTCTAATGAGTTGAGACCAGGTATGCTGCTAAATATCCTACAGCACATAAGACACCTCCCTACACCAAATAATTTTCCAATCCAAAAGGTCAGTAGTGTTAAGATTATGAAACCATGGACTGGAAATAGCATCTTGTTTCATTTTGTATTTATTAGATTATTAGTAAGGGTAGTTTTTCCCCATATGTTTACTAATGAGTTATATTTTGTAAATCTTCTATTCATATGATTTGTTCATATTTCTCATCAATTCATATGAGTTCCTTTTAGTATAAGATTTAACCACTTTACTTACTGAGTTTCTTTAAAATAAATTTTTAAAAATATGAACAGGTGTTGGGATGAGCACTGGGTGTTATATGCAACTCATGAATCATTGAACACTACAGTGAAAACTTATGATGTACTATATATTGGCTAATTGAACATAATGAAAAAAACCTTGAGTATAGATGACACAAAATTTTAATTAGTTTCAGGTGTGCAATGTAATGATTCAATAAGATTATACAAATGCTATGCTCACCACAAGTGTAGCTACTACCACTTGTCACCATACAAACTGAGTTTATATTCTTCCAGTTGTTTCCTTCCAAATTTTGGTTAGGTTTATATTGACTATTGCTATGTTTATTTTTTATATGGTTATACATCATTCTTAGTTGTATCTAGTATAGACAGTCCTTCCCCTATCTGCTCACTCCTCATAATTTCATCTTTATTAAATTCTTTTTTCTTAAAGTTCTATTTTTTCACATTTAACTTTTTAAATACATCTATAATTTATTATAATGTGTATTATGAGATAAAGAACACTTTTTTTCTAAAAAGCAATATCTGGTTTTCCTCCTTTTGAAGAAACATTTGGCTCACAGAGCATTTTTGAGACTCAAGAAAACCTTAAAAAAACTAAGCTTTCCACAGGTTTATGCAAGAGAGGGAATGTGCAGCTCCTTATCTTCCTTAACTATGAGGGACAATAATATTCTACAAGGTAGTTAGCTGTTTGTAACTCACCTAACTTAGGACAAAACAGTAGTCATGTATAGCACTATGTCAGTCTTGCAGAAATATATAAAAAAATATAAATTCTGGGAATGGAAATCCTTTGCAGTTTGGGATTATTAATAAGTGTTAAATTAATGAATTTTTTATATGATGAGAGAATTGAAGAAAGTGATACTGTGTGTGTGTGTGTGTGTGTGTGTGTGTGTGTGTGTGTGTGTGTGTTTGGTAAGAAGGAAGACATAATTTCTAATTAAGAAATTAAAAACAGTTGTCAGGGGGCCTCCTGGGTGGCTCAGTGGGTTAAGCCTCTGCCTTCTGCTCGGGTCATGATCTCAGGGTTCTAGGACTGAGCCCCGCATCGGGCTCTCTGCTCAGTGGGGAGCCTGCTCCCTCCACCCCCAGCCTGCATCTCTGCCTGCTTATGATCTCTGTCTGTCAAATAAATAAATAAAATCTTTTTAAAAAGCAGTTGTCAATTTATAACATTATATAGAAATTTTATGAGTCTCTGATAATAGATCAGTTAAATGAATGGGAATAAGTATAGATATATTCCTATTATCATACAGATGGAGAATGAGTTAGATTCTGCTCGCTCTGAAATAGAACTCCTCAGGAGTCAGATGACAAATGAGAGAATCTCCATGCAGAATCTAGAAGCTTTGCTGGTGGCCAATCGAGACAAAGAATATCAGTCTCAGATAGCGCTTCAAGAAAAAGAATCTGAAATTCAGCTTCTTAAAGAACACCTTTGTTTGGCAGAAAATAAAATGTGAGTTGGTTAACAATACAGTAGCATGAATTCGTATTTTAAATTTTTTTTATACTTTATAGGTTAGTAGAATTTAACAGCTGGAATTTAGACAATTTAGTGCCCATCTTTTGCCATTAATTAAACTGAGAATCAGAAATACTGTGATTTGCCTAAGATTTAGTACTCGTTTCTATTATATGTTTATCTAAATTTAAATTGAACCATCTTTTTTGATTATTTCCAACAGAGCTTTGGATATAATAGAATGTCTGACCTAAAACATTACCTTTTAGAAATATTATAACAAGTTTTTAGGGGAAAAAATTGAGCACTACTGAAGCCAGAGGAATTTTTCTGTTTATGGACCCACCTGGATTGCTGCTGAGTATTTAGACTTGTCACTTAGTATTTCCTTATGCACCTATAAGTATATATTGGGTACCTGGAAGAACTCTTATATTCACAGAATACTGAAGACTTCCCTTAGAGCACTGACTTTGGGTTTTTTGTTTTTTTAAGCATCCCTAGCTCCATTACCATCTTATTATAAGAACCTTGGCTAGGAGGTAGTAGAAATGCCTGCCTGGACAGTGAATGTTTTATTATGAAACCTGGTGACCTCTCACAAAAACTGATGGGGACCCTTAGCCTCTATTGTTATCTGTCCCATCTATAACACTTTTTCATCCCCTCAACTCTGTCTTCCCATCTGAGCATGGGACCTGGGGAGAAGGATAGGAATCATGGTCTCAGGAATCAGTCACTCCTAGGACCCCCTGACTGAGGAAGGGTTGCAGAGCCAGGGCCAGTTTCCTTGAGAAACTATTTTCAGGTTATGGCAGCTGTGAGTCATTCTTTTCAGTCACTGTAGCTGGGCTTTTGTAATATCTTCAACTGGTTCTGCAGGATCACTTTCTCAAGCTCTGTTTGGAAATCTACCTTGGTGAAATATGCCCAACCCCCTCACCTTTAGGGATGCATTTTGTTTTAGAATGTACGCTCACTTAGAACTGGTAAGCATAATAAACTCTTATGTTCTTAATCTCTAAAGTTTAGATTTCAGCAGTCAACAGTGCTGTCTGGCAGGCAAAGAGGATAGAATGTTCTGTGCAAGCAGCATTCATTGCTTTCCCCATCTTCCTTATGATAGTGTGCCTTATCACAGAGTTTTTGAGGCATTGTTTGGCTCTAAGGAGGATCCTGTTAAATTGAAGAGATTTTGTATTTTACAGTTTGTATATGTATACAGTTTGTATGTGCAAATATAAATTGCATGAATCAAATTTCATTATAAGTATATACAAGACACTTGATTTAATAAATATATATAGTAGGACTAATAATGGTATTATTTGGTTATAATACTACTTTGTATATAATACCTTAAAGTACTTTAAAAAATAGATAATATAGATAGATAATAGATAATATTACCCATCTAAACATAGGGAAACAGAGAGAGAAGGTTTAACTAATTGAATGGGACTGAGAGAGCTTAGCCTTTTCAAGTAGGCTATATTCATATTTACTACTTCTAAAATTGGCATATTTTAGATGTACTAATACATCCATAAAAATCACAGTCTGGCATGGTTCCTACTGAGCAACCATTGCCAACATGGTTTAATGTGGTAAGTCCTAGCCATATTTTAAATTTAATCAGCTGTCACTCATACTTTTTTTTAACACAGGGCCATCCAGAGTAGAGATGTGGCCCAGTTCAGAAATGTTGTAACACAGTTGGAAGCTGATTTAGACATTACCAAACGACAACTAGGGACGGAGCGCTTTGAAAGGTAAGTTCGTCTCTATGCAGTGTTCAGTCTGGAAAGCGTTGTTGTTGTGTTTACGTAACAACAGAGTTTGATAATTTCATGATAGCTTTTAAAGTATGAACTGAACTACAGTTTTATGATGGTATTAGTAACATCACTGGATATAAAATTTAAAAGCCTCACTATTTTGCTCCAGGGAGAGGGCTGTACAAGAACTTCGCCGCCAGAATTACTCAAGTAATGCTTATCATATGAGTTCTACAATAAAGCCAAATACAAAATGTCATTCACCAGAACGTGCTCACCATCGATCTCCTGACCGAGGCCTAGATCGATCATTAGAAGAGTAAGTAGTTCAAGGATCCATTCTCTGGAGACCATATAGAATATTTGAGGAAGTAAGGAAGCTCAAATCAATCTATCATTAATAGTGCTATTTAAACACAATTACATCATTAAGTATATAGACATAAAAGTGAAGTATTTTGATCATTAGTTTTATATAAATTTGCTAAAATTAAAGATCTTTATCTAATGTTTATATAAGTTATATATTTAAAATGTAATTTTCTTCTTATTCTAAAACTTAAATTTTTCCATATGCTTACATTAACAAAATATTAGTTAATTACAGCACCATAAAATGCTTATGCTTTAGGAAAGCAGTTTATTTTTCAGAGGAAAATATTTTAGATATATTCTGATATGTCACAAATTTTGTACAAATGCTTGAATTTCAAAATAAATTCGAACTTATAAGAAGTTATAAAAATAAAATAATGCACAGAACAGCTATATACCTTTTACCCATACTCATCATTAAAATTTTACTCCATTTGCTTTTTCTATGTTTGAGACAACACATTTGCTGTCTTATTTACTCACACTTTTACATATGTTTTCTTTCCATGTATGCATGGGTGCACACACACACATGCCATGCACACACACAAACATTTTAAAAACCTGAAATACCTCCAGTTCCAAACCATCTCCCCAGGTTTCTTCCTTTCTTTCTTCCATTTTGTATTTGTATGTCCTTTCTTCTACAGTGAGAACCCTGGCTCAACATTGTGTTTATCAACAGTATGTACGTAGTTACTCTTTTGCTCAATCCCAGAGTGCATCTAAAATAGGTTCGAAATTTCTTCACCTATGTCACTACATTAAATAGACCAACATTAAAGTTCATGATCTATTTGTAATTCCTGTCTCCATATACTACTCTGCATAAATCTTGAGGGCATACACTCAAATACTGAGCTTAAAAATTACTTAGATTAATTCCTTTTTTCCCCTTTTGCTGTGATTATGATATGCGGTTAGGATAACACTAGTTTCATTTACTTCAATTTGCTTTCACTTTTCATTTTTCCCCTTCCTAGTTTTTTCCTTGATTTAGTTTTATTTTTGAATATGTAGATTAATATGCTTTTAAAAGTCAAAACTCTGCAAAAAGTAATAACCAGAGAAGTCTTACTTTCTCCTATATACCCTCTATCCCATGTCCCCCATATTGCTTTATGGTTTATATAATGACATTCAGGTATATTTTTCTTTTCATATGCAAAAGGTGGCATACTATATATGTTTCTTACACTTTTCTTTTCTCACTTCTTTTAGAAGTCACTTTATATTCATACAGATTCCCCTTGTTCCTTTTTACAGTTGCATAGTATTCCATTTTATGGACATACTGTAGTTATGCAACTGACCTCCTATATTTGGACATTTAGGTAGTTTTCAACAATTTGCAATTACAAATAAGACTATAATGAATGTATTTTCATATTGGTGGAGGTATATCTTCAGGATAAATTCCTAGAAGCAGGGTTTCTGGGTCAAAGGGTAAATGTGTATGTGTATAGTTTGGTTAAATAGTGCCAAAATCCCCCTCTGCCAGGGTTGTAGTATTTTTCATTCCCACCAACTATGGTTTAAAGTGCTTGTTTCCCTACAGCATCATCAGCAGAGTATACTGTCAAGTTCTTGAGTTTTTGTGAGTATGGTGGGTAAGAAATGGTATTTCAGTGTAGTTTTAATTTGCATTTCTCTTTCTATGAGTGAATTTTAATATCTTTTCATATGTTTAAGGGCTGTTTTATATCTTTTTTTTAAATTGGCCATTTCTTTTGCCCATTTTTCTAATGGAATGTTCTCTTTTTGTTAAATTTTCTTTGTAAATGTGGGAAATTAACTTTTTTTTGGATTTACAAAGCAGTTTTTATTTCTCACTTTTACTTTTAGTACATGAGTTTTTCAATGTTATCAGAAAGTAAACTATTATCTTTATCCTCCCACCACCACCCCCTGTTGACTTTGCTGAGAAAAGAATCACATTGCTTTCTGCTAACATATTTAATGAGCAACAATAGATTTATTTCACATTATAAAAGAATAATGGGAAATTAACTTTTTATTACTGATATATGTTGCAAATATTTTCTTCCATTTTGTCACTTTTCTTTTGAATTTAAACTATTTTTTACATGGAAAAGTTTGTTTTTATGTAGTCAAATTTTTAAATATATTTTAAACATCCAATTTCTGTTTATAGTTAGAAAAATCTTTTCTTATACCCAGATAGATAACAGAGGAAATCAGTGTTTTTAGTTTCAATGTTTTAGCACTTATATAAGTTATATATATATATATATATGTATATATATATATATATATATATCTTATTACATTTAGATTTCTGATTCATTTAAAGTTTATTTTGCATATGGTATGAAAAATAGGTCTAATTTTACTTTTTTCCAAATGACTAACCAGTTTTTCAAAGATCATTTAGTAAAAATATTTTGTCCAAGTGATTCAGGTCCCTCTCTGGACTTTCTCTTCTGTTCCTTTGGGTTTATTTATGCTCAAATCCCACACTATTTTAATTATAGAGCCTTTGTAATATTTTTCATTTTTTAGGACTAGTTTGATGGTTTGCTGGTAAACTGGTTCTCCGAAGAAGGGAAGGGAGAAGCCCTGATTTGTAGCATTTGCCAATTTCAGTGGTGTAAATATGCCCACTGTGGCCAGGAAGCCACTTTGTTTGTTTCCTCTTTCTTTCTTGTTTTCTTTTTTTCTTTCTTTCTCTTTCTTTATGTTAACGTGTAGTTGACATACAGTGTTATCTTAGTCTCAGGTGTACAATATAGTGATTACACAATTCTACATATTCTATAAATATATTGTACAGTTTCAAGCTGCCAAGCTAGTTTAACTACCAGCTCACAAAATTTCTGAATATTTACAATCAGCTGTGAGCCAGCTCCAGCATACCGATAATTTAGCGCCTATAGGAGCACTTCCTTTTAAGTATTTGCCTATATTTTCATGTGAGTTTGTTTTCCATATTACACAACTAATGAATCATTGAACACTACAACAAAACTTAGAATGTTGCATCTGAAAGTAGCATTAGCTTATCTAGCTCCAATTTAAAAAGCCCATTGGAATTTTTATTAGAATCACATTAAATTTATAAATTAACTTGGGGAGAACTGACATCTTGGTAATGTTGAGCTGTCCTAACCAAAAAAACAAGGATGTCCTTCCATTTTTTTCAAACTCACATGTGTCATTCAAGAATAATAAAAAATAGGGGCACCTGGGTGGCTCAGTGGGTTAAAGCCTCTGCCTTCAGCTCAGGTCATGATCTCAGGGTCCTGGGATCAAGCCCCACATCAGGCTCTCTGCTCAGCAAGGAGCCTGCTTCCTCCTCTCTCTCTGTCTACTTGTGATCTCTGTCTGTCAAATAAATAAAATCTTAAAAAACAAAAAAGAATAATAAATAGATAAAATCAAAAGCTTTTTTTAAATTTATTTTCAGCATAACAGTATTCATTGTTTTTGCACCACACCCAGTGCTCCATGTAATCCATGTCCTGTCTAATACCCACCACCTTGTTCCCCCAACCTCCCACCCTCCGCCCCTTCAGAACCCTCAGATTGTTTTTCAGAGTCCATAGTCTCTCATGGTTCACCTCCCCTTCCAATTTCCCCCAACTCCCTTCTCCTCTCTAACTCCCCTTGTCCTCCATGCTATTTGTTATGCTCCACAAATAAGTGAAACCATATGATAATTGATTCTCTCTGATTGACTTATTTCACTCAGCATAATCTCTTCCAGTCCCGTCCATGTTGCTACAAAAGTTCAAAAGCTTTTTTTAATTAAAAAGTGAGTTGCAGTTTCCTTTATATAGGTTTTGAACATTTCTTAAGTTTATTCCTAAATAGTTTATCTTTAGTTTTTTTCTCCCCATTCATTCTTCAAAAAATGCTATTTTTGCATGTTAATTTATCATCACGTTATTGTGCTAGATTTTTTTTTATTTTTTCATTAAGTTTTATCATTGACTCATTAGGGGAGTCCAGATATGTTATCGTGTCATCTGCAAAAAAGAGATCATTTTATTTCTTCTTTGCCTATTTTTATCTCTTGAATTGTATTCTCTAATTAATTGCAATAGCTAGTATCCTCAGAATAGTGATAAACGGTAGTGGAGAAAATGGGCATCCTTGTTTTGATTCTGACCTTAAGTGGGAATGCCTCTAGGGTTTGTCAAGTAAATGTAAGATGCTGGCTTTAGAACTGAGGTATAAATGTTTTATGATATCTGCCCATTTTTATTTTCTCAAGATTTTATATTTTATTAGGAATGGGTGTTTAATTTTTTCAAGGGCTTTTTCAGCATCTATAGAGATATGGTTTTTCTCTTTAGAACTGTTACTTTGTGAATTATTTGAAAAGATTTTCAGATATTGAACCATCTTTGAATTTATGGTATAAACCTTACTTGGTCTTAATGTATTCTATTCTTAATGTTCACTTATATTTTATTGTAGATTTGTGTATCAATATTTGTGATATTGGTCTATAATTTTTTTCTTTGTACTCTCTTAGCAAGTTTAGATATCAGTGTTATATTTGCTGCAAAAAAGGAATTTGAAAGTTTTCACTTACTGTGCTTTGAAACAATTTATGTAGTTTGTGATCGTCTGATCTCTAAGGGTTTGTTTGGGTTCACCTGTGAAACCACACAGCCTTGGTTCTTTCTTTTTTGTAAGGTATATTTCCTTGCTAAATTTTTCTGTTTTTTTTGGGGGGGGGTTGTTTTAAGCTTTTTATCTCTATTTGTCTAAAAATAATCTATTTTCTCTAGGATCATTTTTTAAAAGATTTTATTTATTTGAGAGACTGAAAGAGAGAGATCATGAATGTATACATGAATGGGGGAGGGATAGAGGGAGAGGGAAAAGCAGACTCCCCACTGGAGTCTCAAGATGGAACTCATCCCGAGACCCTGGGATCATGACCTGAACTGGAGGCAGAGCCATGAGGTGCCTCTCTCTAAGTTTTTGAATTTATTTGCACAGAAGTAACCAATGCTTTATCTTATGAATTTTTTTTAAGATTTTATTTATTTATTTGAGAGAGAGAGAGAGTCAGAGAGAGAGAGCATGAGAGGGGAGGTCAGAGGGAGAAACAGACTCCCCATGGAGCTGGGAGCCCGATATGGGACTCGATCCCAGGACTCCGGGATCACGACCTGAGCCGAAGGCAGTCGCCCAACCAACTGAGCCACCCAGGTGCCCCTATCTTATGAATTTTTAAATTTCCTTTTTATAAATAGCTATATCCCATTGTCATTTCTTAATTGTAGATATGTGCTTTCCTCTTCTATTTCTTTGTTACCGTAGCCAGTGACTTGTTTACTTTGTTTATTGCCTCAAAGAAACAGCATTTTGATTTATTGATTTATTTTATCTTACTAATTTATGGTTTCGTTTATCTTATTTCTTTCCTCCGCTATCTTTTTATTTACTTAGTTGGTTTTGTTCCCTCAGTATTTTAAGTTAGGAATTTAATTCATTTATTGCCATTCTTTCATTCTTATTGATATAAATATTATGAATTTTCCAGTGATCATTACTTTAAATGTATCCCATAGATTCTGATATGTTGTTTTTATTATCATTTTTTTAGAAGTTCTGTAATTTCTGTTTGTGTTTTCACTTTTACCCAAGAGTTAGTTGATAGAAAATCTTATAATTTCCAGTTAGAAGAGCTTTTTGTGTTTCCATTTCATTTTTAAATTTCTAGTGTTATTGCATTGTGATTAGAGAGTATTGTTTATAATGTTTCTATTGTGGAAACTACTGATGTTTTCTTTGTACTTTACTACATGATGAATTTGTGTGGATAGTTCATGTGCCCCTGAAAAGATGTATTTTTTCTTATCAAGGTATATATTTCTAGTGTGAGTGTATATACATATAAAAGATTTACCTTTTTAATTTTATTTAGTTCTTTTATGTCATTTCTTAATTTTTATTCACTTGACCTGTTTTACTAAGAATGGTGCTTTAAAATCTCCTGTTATTATTGTTTTTATTTCTTTATCTATCTCCTATAAATTTTGTTTTATGTAAGTTTGCTGTTTTGTTTGCTGCATGGATATTTGGAACTGCCGTATCTTCATTGTGCAATGTGGATTTTATGAATGTGCCTTTCCAATACATTTAATTTTTTGGAGTTGGGAGGGGCTTGGTGTCTACTTGTCTAGTATTAGAGTTACAGGTACAAAGGTCTCCATCTGCCTTGCAAATCTTTGTCCATCTCTTTATTTTTAGCTCTTCTGAGTCACTGAATTTTGAGTATCTCTCTTATTTATAGTATGGATTTAAGTTTTGCTTTATGAGCCATTTTAAAATAGTGGATGAGGTAAGCTTTTTCACATTATTGATATGACTTTAAAATTTGGTCTCAACTCTGTCATATTATCTTATGATAACTGTGTTTATTGTGTGACATTTACTGCATTTCTCAATTTGGCTATTCTTCGCTTTTGGTCATTTCTTTTGATATTCAAGGCTTGTATTTTATTATAGTAGTCACCTTCCTCTTAATAATTTAAAGAGTGCCATTAATTCTCCTTTTTCTTACTTAGCCTTTTGCTGTTAGTTTTAAATGGTATATTTTGACTGCCGCCTATTACCTAGACAACAGTCAATGTATTTAATTTACTTTCCCCAACCGCTGATCTGTTAACTGCCCCTATATATTTAACTTTTCAAAGTTGTTCTATAAATGGAATCACATATATATCCTCTAGTGGCTGACTTCCATGCAGCATAATATATTTGAAATATATCCAGGTTGTTGTATGGATCAGATTTTGTTGCATGTTCCTTTGAACTGCTGAGCAGTATTTCCTTGTATGTCCTCACTACAGCTTTGTTTGCTTTGTTACACTTTTTATTTCGAAATAACTACATTCTCACAAGTAGTTGCAAAAATAATACAGATAATCCCACATATCCTTACCCCAACTTCCCCAATGGCAATATCTTATAAACTGGGAAATTGATTTTGGTACAAAATGATTAACTAGGCCATAGGCCTTATTCAGATTTCATTTTTACATACACTCATATGTACGTGTGTGTGCAGTTGTTTGTTTGTTTTTTACATAAGACTCATCTACCACAGTTACAAGCAGAATACCATACTATATTGTCCATCAGAACCAAGGAATTTGCTCCCTCTTGTGATAACCTTTTTATAGTCACACTCCTCTCCTCCTCCTTCCTGGCAAACACTGATTTGTTCTTCATATCTTTAATTCTGTCATTTTGAGACTGTGATATAAATGAAATCACACACAGTGTATAACATTTTGAGATTGGATTTTTTCATTTAGCACAATGCCCATGAGATCCATCCAAGTTGTATTTACAACCATAAAAGACTCTTAACTATAGGGAACAAACTGAGGGTTGCTGGAGGGGCTCTGGGTAGGGGAATGGGGTAAGTGGGTGAAGGACATTAAGGAGGGCACTTGATGCAATGAGTAGTGGATGCTATATGCAGCTGATCAATCACTAAATTCTACCCCTGAAACTAATAATATACTATATGTTAACTAAATTTAAATTAAAAAAATTTGAAAAAGATAGTTCTTTTTGTTGTTGAATATTATTCCATGTTATGGATATATCACAGTTTATGAAAGCTGAATGAAAAAAATACATTGTCTATGTTTTCCTTCACAGAGGCTGGAAAAAAAAAATTTAAGTATTGACAAAGTAATGTCAGAATACATGTTGTACATCAGTGAAATCTTAAATTTATTAAGTTTATTAATCTGCGATTTTTTTCTCTCTCGTAGGAATCTTTGCTATAGAGATTTCTGACACACGAAAAGATTCTTCACATCCTTGGGAAAGGTCAAAGTTACAAACTGATTTTTTTTTTGCTACATGATTGCATTTATCTTTTGAATGCTTGACAATGTTAAATGTATTTATTAACTTTGTGCCTCTGAATCTCTGTTCGCATGTGCCATATTGCAGTGATCTGAGATGACTTATAAAAACAAAAATGCATATGGCTTTCTATCCGTGCAGTAATAGTGAGTGTAAAATCTGCTTACTTCACTATTGAACACTGTTATGTTAACTATCTGGAGTAAATAAAGAAGCTTATAAAAAGAGGGAAAAGTGTTTTTACAAAACTGATTTCCTTTCCTTTCTTGATATCTCAAATAATTGGTTGGTTAAATTTTTTCTTTGTGATTTATGCTTTCATTGATGGAGAAGTTGTGTCAAAATAGGCAAAGTTTACTAATACTGGCCTGGGACCCAATATTCCATTTGGGAACCAACCTGACATAATTTCCAGGCCGTAATCTGATTTCAAAGCAGCAGATAGTAGGAGTGTTTCAGAGTTTTTAAATCCATAGGATTGTACCACTAATTAACATACATTTTCTGCAATTGTGTTTACCCGTACTATTTTTAGAAAGGTAGGTGATGCTATATTGTCAAGAATGTAAGATTTTTAAAAAATCTGTATTTTAATAAGTTTTCTTTACAATATTAAAGTACTGCAATCAACCTAATTGCCATTTTATTTATTTAATTTTTTTGCCTGTGGCAGGTGTCTGTAACTTAGAGTAACAAGTTTAGTTACGTTTTCTTATTTCTCCTAAAATTTCTTAAATCTCTTCCCTTTTCTATCCATAGGCTTTGATTTAATGTTGATATTAAAGCCTGAACACTACTGTATTTTACTGATTGATATGAGCTATTTGTATTCTTTCCATTTTAATAAAAAAAAAGTCCTGTCATTAATAATATTCATATGAAGTAGACAATTTCTCATTTTATGTAGTTACTATACAGTATCACTACAATAGAACAGTGCCCTGATTTAGGTCTTGTTTAATCAATAGCATTCTGACATTTTACTATAAATTCATGCTATATATTGACTTTAGTTTGCGTTTTAAAAACCTTGAGGTTTACCCATCTAGTTCAAGACAGTCATTACAGATTGGTTTTAAAAATTGAATAATTTAGGGGTGCCTGGGTGGCTCAATGGGTTAAAGCCTCTGCCTTCAGCTCAGGTCATGATCCCAGGATCCTGGGATTGAGCCCCACATCGGGCTCTCTGCTCAGTGGGGAGCCTGCTTCCTTCTCTCTCTGCCTGCCTCTCTGCCTACTTGTGATTTCTGTCTGTCAAATAAATAATAAATAAAATCTTTAAAAAAATTGAATAATTTAAAATAAGATGTCCTTTTTATAAACATTTTAGAGAATAATATACAAAAATTGTTCTTGCTAATATTAAGTAATATACTGATAAATATGAAAAATTAACCTTTGACAGGTGATATAGTGGCCTAAGCACTAGATCACCACAGCATTAATTTTAGTCTAACTACCTCCTAGAAGAGCTGACAAGGAGCTGAGTGTCACCTGTCATTTGCATTTAACATGTTGTATGTGGAGGGCAGTATGTGGGAAAAGGAGCATGAGAGAATAGGAATGAACTACATAAGAAAATATTTCCGTATTTGATTCAAAGTATACTGTATTTGTGCTGTTAATTACAGAATATTTAAAGGAAAATTGTATGTTAAGTATGAAGGGGTCAACTTATCCAAAGGTTGGGAAACTGCAACTGTATTCTATGTTAAAACTCAAAGAAAGGATTTTTTTCTATGGTAGTATTTAAGAACACATATCATTTTAAACGAGATTCTAATCACTTCAGATAAATATATAATAGCCTATTGATATGGTAGAGACTGTAAAATACATAATGCAGAAACTATATGAGACAAATTCTTTTCTTGATGACAAAAAAAATCTGAAAAAGAGCTCTCAGCTTTGAAATGTCATGTTCAATACAAAGCTTCCACTCTTACTGAAGTAAGGGTGTTTTGAAAGAAGATTGTTAACCCTCCAAGTTAAATATCTCATGGGTGTTGTGTTTCAGTAGATCTCAACTAGATTCAACAATGTCTCCCCCTTGCATTCTCTGCCTTTGTTTCCCATAGTAGAGTGTCATCAGCTACCACGTCAGAAGCCTGAGCCCTTGCCCACATGCCATCTCAGGTCACTCCATTCCCTTCTCACTCCACACATTCAGTCAACTTTAAATGTCCTTTCCTACTACACGATATTGCTGAAAGAAATTAATTGCTGAAAGACCTAATTAAATGAAAAGACTTCCACATTCATGGATTAAAAGGCTTAATATTGTTAAGATGGTAGTATTCCCCCAAACCATCTCCAGGTTAAATATAAGCTTATCAAAATACCAGTGGAGTTTTGTTGTTGTTGTTTTGTGTTTTTTATTGTTTTGTGTTTTTTGTTTGTTTGTTTGTTTGCTGTAGAAATGGAAAAGCCAATCAGAAAATTTATGTGGAATTGCAAGGGACCAAGAATAGGCTAAAAAGTCTTGAAACGGAAGAACAAAGTTGAAGGATCCATATTTCCCAATTTCAAAAGTTAATACAAAGCTGCAGTAATCAAAATAGTGTGGTAATGGCATAAGGATAGACATATGAATGAAAGGAATGGAATTGAAAGTCCAGATATAAACCCATACATCTGTGGTCATTTGATTTTTGACAAAGGTGCAAAGACCATGCTATGGAAAAAGAGTAGTCTCTTCAGCAGTGATGCTGGGACACTTGGATAACCACACGCAAAAGAGTCTAGCTGGACCCTTACACACCACATACAAAAATCAACTTAAAATGGATCATAGCCTAAATTTACGTGCTAAACTATAAAACTCTTTGAAGAAAACATAGAGGCAAATCTTCATAGCCTTGGATTTCACAATGGTTTCTTACATATTATGACTTAAATGACAAGCAACAGGAATAGATAAGGTGGATTTCAGCAGAATTAAAATCTTTGTGCATCAAAAGTCACTACGAAGAAAGTGAAAGATAACCCAAATGATAGGAGAAAATATTTGTAAATCATGTATCTAATAAGGGTGTTAATATCCAGAAAAATAAAAAATTTTTACAAACTGACAACAAAAAACAACACAATTAAAAAAATGTGCAAAAGACTTGAATAGGCAATTCTCCGAAGAATGTATACCAATAGTCATAAATACAAAAATACTAAATTCTCATTAGTTATTAGAGAAATGGAAATCAAACTACAGTAACATCACTTCTTGTGCACTAAGATGGCTATCATAGGAAAGATAGAAAATAACAAATACTGATGAGGATGTGAAATTGGAACCCATTCTGGTGGAAATATAAAATGGTGCAGCCACTGTGGGAAACAGTCTGGCAGTGCCTCAATAAATTAAACATAGAAATATCATATGACCCAGCAATTCAACTACTAAGTATATATCCAAAAGAATGGAAAAAGTATTCAACAAATATTTGTACATGAATATTCACAGCAGCTCTAATTCAAAATAAGCAAAAGATAGAAACAAATGTCCAACAACTGATGAAAGAACAAACAGAATGTGATACATCCCTATAGTCCAATATAGTCCAATATGAATGAGTTACTGTTACATGGATAGCCCTTGAAAACTAAGTAAAATAATCCAGACATAAAACCACATATTTTCATATTCCATTCATATGCAATATCCACAATAGGCAAATCCCTAGAGACGGTGCCAATTAGTGGCTGCCAGAGGGCAATGGAGAGAGACTGCCTAGTGGGAACAGGGTTTCTGTTTAGGGTGATAGACAAGTTTTAGAACAAGATAATGGTAATTGTTATACAACATTACAAATGCACTTAATGCCACTGAATTGTACAATTGTAAGTGGTTAAAGTGGTAAATATTATGTATATTTACCACAATAAAAAAAGTCATTTTCTCAAGTTTTCTCTGACTCCTAACATTGATCTAATAGGGTCAGATTCTAAAACACCCAGTATTTCTCCTTTAGAGGGCAGTTATAATTAATTATTTGTGTAATATTTGCACATATATTGTAATATTTGCACATTTGCTGCATATCTGCCTTCTTTACTGTAATACATATCAGGGCAGGGGATGATATCTACCTTCACTGTTGTATCTGCTACTAAAGTGTAGCACAGTGCTTGACACATACTAGGTATTCTATAAATTCTTCTGGAACAAATAAAGAAATGAATTATCCCTAATTCCTGACAAGTCTATCTCATAAATATCTTTGGAATTAATCTACTTTTTTCTCTTCTCACTGTAATCCAGACTATAATAACCTCTTAATTTAGAATAATGCAACAGCCTCCTATTCGCTCTCTCTTCTTTCAGTCATACTTCCATTTAATCCATTATTTACACTGTAATCAAAGAAATAGTTTTAAAACACAAGTACAATCACATCCCTCCCCACACACATACCCTTTGAGTACCAAATTTGGCATTATGCTAAGCCTAAGCTCTTTAACATTGTCCTCACAGACCACTCTGATTTGCTGCTTCTTTTTTTTCATCTCTTGTGTATCATAACTCATCCCACCTACATTACAATTATATATTATAGTTATTCTGAATTACTTTCAACATTTGGAACAGCTTATGCTCTTTTAGCTCTTGGCCTTTGCACATTCTCTTTCTTCTGCCAAGATCACTCATTTTTTCCTCTCCCATTTCCCCTCCCAGCCTGGAAAATTCTTGTTTGGCTTAACACAGTGTCCAGCCCCTCTCATGGTGCCTGGCACATAGTATGTGCTCAACAAATATTTCCTTTAAAAAATGAAAGTCTAGGGCACCTGGGTGGCTCAGTGGGTTAAAGCCTCTGCCTTCCACTCAGGTCATGATCCCCAGGTCCTGGGATCAAGCCCCGCATCAGGCTCTCTGCTCAGTGGGGAGCCTGCTTCCCCACCCCCCCGCCTCCCTCTCTGCCTACTTGTGATCTCTGTCTTTCAAATAAATAAATAAAATATTTTAAAAAATAAAAAAATAAAAATGAAAGTCTA